CGGCCGAACATGCTGAGCATGTTCGGCCGACCCGAAGCCACGTGAAGCAAGCCGATGTACGGCTGAAATCAGACGTACCAGCCTGAAGTGAATAGCCGAACAGTGTTCGGCTCACTTCACTTCAGGTCGGTCATTCACTCGGCTGCCTACGGCAGCTTGGTGAATAGACCCCATGTTTCTCTCATATATGTCCTTTAAAGAGGCCATGTCAATTCCTAAAGAAATCCTGCTGAAAGTCTCCTGCAATAGGCAGGGTAGCATACATGCATTACAAAACACAAAAATTCCCCAGCCTCAGCCTGCCAGCCAGCCTGCAACCAAACAAGTAGCCCTGTCAACAGTATGCGTTAAAATCAGAGGTTTTAGTTGCACAAACTTTTGGCCAAAAATATGTAGAAGCCACACTGCCGCGCCAAGGCACCTCTGCAAAGTGTGGTCCTAACTCTATGTATCCGAGTCTCCAAGTGTGAGCATATTAATGAAGTTGATAAATTACATGCAGGTGTACCTGGAGGTAGCCAACTCCTCCTGATAAGGTGCAGGGACGCACTGGAGGCCCAGCAACCAAAAATGCACGCTGGGACTCCAGTGCGTCCCCCTAACCCTGCTATAAAGGCCGGTTATAGATTCATGCATGTACCATTTTTTTCTAGTTTGAGTCCCAGCGTGCATTTTTGGTTGCTGGGCCTCCAGTGCGTCCCTGCACCTTATCAGGAGGATTTGGCTACCTCCAGCCACACTTTGCAGAGGTGCCTTGGCGCGGCAGTGTGGCTTCTACATATTTTTGGCCAAAAGTTTGTGCAACTAAAACCTCTGATTTTAACGCATACTGTTGACAGGGCTATTTGTTTGGTTGCAGGCTGGCTGGCAGGTTGAGGCTGGGGAATTTTTGTGTTTTGTATTGTTGTAAGCCTTCCCAATGTGCGCCCTGCTATAAAGGCTGGTTACAGATTCATGCATGTACCATTTTTTCTAGCATACATGCATCTCCAGCAGCTCCCTCCTTCAATTCAGCAATCTGTCCTCTGCAAAGCCCCATTCACACTAGGGCGGTTGCGGATCAGCGCAGTTTCCGCGCTGATTTCAGGCCCTGTTCACGATCCGCCGACATGAACGATCCCATACATTGCTATGGGGACCGTTTATGCAACCACGCGGGTCCGTGCGATCTGAACCGCCCCCCGCCCGAATTGCTCCCTGACCCTTTTTTTTTGCGCTGATCAGTGCGGTTTCCATACAGCTTTTAATGGAACTGTGCTGTTCAGCGCAGTTTTAGGTGTTTTTAATTGCATTTCAGCTCTGAAACGCAATTAAAAACTCCCAAAACCTCCCTTTTGAAATCAGCACAGAATCTGTGCTGATCCGCAAACCGCCCTGGGGTGAATGGAAGGTTTTGGGAGTTTTTGATTGTGTTTAATCGCTGAAGCACAATTAAAAACGCCCAGAATCGAGCGGTTCCATTGAAAGCTTTATGGAAACCGCACTGATCAGCGTGGCAAAAAAGTCAGGGAGCAATCCTGGGGGGCGGGGGCATTTGGATCGCAGCCAAAGCCCCCGCAGCCAAATCCGCGCGGCCGGACCGCCTCGGTGTGAACGGGGCCTAAAACTCTTTAAGAGTGATGGATGCCTGATGCATTCTATTGCAGGATACTTTCAGCAAGATTTTATAAACTGACATGGCCTCTCTAATGTTCTGTAAGTTTTTGCACACATTTGGAAATTGCAAAGCTAAAGCACATATTTTTATTATAGACAACAGGCAGCAGGGATCTCCTGGCCCCTAATTCTCCTGGCAACCTGGATCAAGGTTGAGGCCATATCCCTACTTTCTTGTAAGCCTCATTATTGGTCCATCACAGTGATAAGCAGCCTTACTGCCAAATAATTAGGCTTAGGAGCTGCAGGGGGGGGGGGGGGGGGGGGGGGGGCATGGTCTTCCCAAGTCTAGACATGTTTTTTTACCATTCAGTATACTTTTGAACATTTGCACCATTTCCATTAAAAGATTTGCTAATAAGAAACTCAACATATTTACTGTGATTTGCACAGTAAGGAAGGATAATTGGTTCCTGTCCAAATTGGCCATAATATGTGTGTGCAATAGGGAGCTTAGATTGTAAGCTCCTTGCGGGCAGGGGCTGGTGTGAATGTGCAGTATTTAAAGCGCTGTGTAAATTGTCGGTGCTATATCAATACCTGTAATAAATAATAAATAAATAAAAAATAACTTTGTTTGTTCTGTATCTATACTAAACAGGAAGAGTTAACTGAACTCACCAACCGCCAACATGTGGCTTTTTTGGACATCAGCAATTTATCTGAGCAGTTGCTTTTTGTACAGCAATGGAGGAATCCTACCTCAGACAGGTACATTGTTTCAGTAATACCATTTATGCCCTCTCTCCATTCATATTTCTTTTGGTGATCCTAAACAAACAGCTCCCTATCAAAGTACAAGGCATTATTAGCACCTTGGCTGGGACCCAGATTGCATTTTGTTATGGCTTGGAGCTTTTAATAGGGAACCAGCATTTCCTGTTTATTGTGTTTGACTTTTTTTATGCCTGCAGGATGTAAATGAACTTAAAATGAACATTTGCCAAGATTATGCACACAAAAAATTTGCATATTCTTAACAAACAGTAAAAGCACTCTAAAACAAGCTCTCATTTACCTCTGTATCTACAAGCATTGTGGATAATTTATTTTCACAGTCTGCCAGCTCTCTCATGTAAACACACAGTAGGCGTTTCTAAGTTTTTAGAAAGCAACTGAAACCCAACTTTATAGTCTTTGTTGTGATCCTTGAGGATCTTTGGGAATTAATTTCTTTACTTTAAAAGCAGCTAGAGAGGTCAGGTAGGACTTGATTTAAAGCAATTTGTTATGTTAAGAATATGTACTTAAATGCCCATAGTCTGGCCACAGATGCACTTTATATTAGGAATTAAACAATGATTCTGGGACAAATATATGCTACTTTTATGTCTTAATGTCCTGGTGCCCAACACACGGTCCACAGGCTCTATGCAGGCTCCCAACTCTCTCTATGCAGCCTGCTATGTGTTGGGCACTTTGCAGGGTAGCCAGATGCCGAGTGCTTGGATGCTCTTAATGTTCTTGCATCCAGAACTGAAATAAAACCAGTACTATCAGGTGGACAGTCTTACAGTAGCAGTAGTATAGTCCAGGACCTCCATCATCAGGCAAAGAGCGTAGAAGGAGTGTGTGATCTGGTTAGAAACACTGAATGGGGGTTTAAACCTGCCACTAACCACCGATGTGGGTTTTGCAAGGAAGGGGGTTAATTGGGGGTTAACAGCAGGGCCAATGATCACCAATGCAAGAGGGGTGGGAAATTCTGCATGTACACTGGCTACCAATGCACGAAGGAGAAGATTAAGGTGAGGGAGCATAACAGTGTTGCCATTGATTGCCAATAAAGAAGGTTTGAAATTGCACTGCAACTGACCACCAATTTGGGGGTAACCACTGTCCAATAAAACACACCATGCTTTTAAGTGCAATAAAATATAAAGCAAATCTTCCAAAAAAGTGGACATGAAACAAGATACAATTGTATAATCCAAAATATTAACCACAATGCAGTCCTATATATTCTGTAATAATCTTCTTGTTCCAAAAAGTGTGAAACAATACAAACACTGTGCTCCACACACGAAAACCAGTGTTTTCAGTGAAATTTCCACCGCTACAAAAACACGCTCCTTTAGGCCTCATGCACACACAATGCAAGAGCAAAATTGCATATTGCGTATATGCGCATATGTACGAGCTTTATATGCGCATATATGCGTGCACTGTATGCAATCTCAGAATGCATAATTATTTATAGAAATTTTTATGTACTGTACGCGCAGCACGAAAAATACGTAAAATATGTAGAAATACCTAGCCCGGATGCATCTTAGGTCCATTTTTTTGCTTATCTTTACACAGCGCAAATATACAGCTTCATATGCAGCTATGTGTATGGAGACACTTATTTGCATATGCTGCATATGGGAAAATTGTATGGCAGTGTAGATGAGGCCTAATATCGCACTCACCAAAGGTAGTAGACCACATAAGCAATGGTCAAATAATGCTTTATGCAATAAAGAAATCTGTAATAAAGATGTCTGCACCATATACTAGGCAATGGGTCCCCCGGGCTGTTCTCTAAATCTTAGAACACCTAAACCAGCAATAAGATATTTGTCGATTAGAAGCTGTAATTTCTCCTTGTTACAGGTTGTTAGACGTGTAGTTCTCACGTTCTACCTCAAGCTGACCCCACCTGTTCTTAACTGAAATTGTTTTCAGAGAAGGTTTCAGGCATGGCACCAGTGTATCCTCAGCTATGAACTCTGCCAGTCTCCCAAGGCACCATCTTGGGAGACTGTATGTGAACACAGAGTTCTCTAAAGATATTGGTGGCCATGACTGTGGCCTTGTGGTGTGCCCCTGTAGTATGGAGAAAGTAAGATAGGGACAGGTACCCACGGTCTTAGGGAAAGTCAGGCTTAGCCAAGAGGCAGGTTCCTGTGGACAAGGAGCAGTCTAGGGTCACTGCAGACACCACCACCTCATATCTGCTGTTATAGAAAGGATCCTCTGTACGGTCATTCATGACACCGGTCTGGAGCATTCAGCTAATTGGCATTGCCAAGGGTCTTAGTGAGACCAGGTTCTTTTGGATTTTTAAAATTCTTTTATCTTGAATAATAAGTAGTATTACAATACGGTAATCATCCCACAGTACACCTATGGAAAAACAAGGCAATCCTGACAGTTGTGGAATAAGACAGTTCAGTTACAGTAGTACAGCAATGCAGAACTTGTGTATGATAGGTTGTAAGAGATTTGCTTTCACAGCATGTGAACACATGGCTGTTTAATCTGATCGTTAAAAAGGATGCTTGCTTTTTTGACTGTATAGTATTTCTGCTCTATTCCTGTTCTGGTGACTGCTCAAAATTTTGGATTTTCCCTCAATTTCAGTCTCAATGGCAGAGGTCACATGGACAAATAGAGAGATGAACCTACCCAATGGGGACACAGACAGTGATAAAAACCTAACCCCCTCTCCACTGCATCCAAAACATAAAAAAGTTGGGACTTTACGTACACTTTAAGTTGGTCTTGTACTGTATGTGTACGAAAAAAAACAGCTTACCCCAGGGATTAAAAAAACATAAGCCCTATGGCCACTCTGAGCCTATGCCAAGCATTGTATATACGATGCAGCACTGCACTGCAGCTCTTTGAACAATGTTACATTTCCATAATGCATAATTTATGGGGGAGGAGGCATAACAGAGCTATCAAGAGTTTCAGAATTAGTTTAGAAAAGACGTAATAAACATTCTATACTGCAACTGTAGACATTCATATTTTCCACAATAACCTGTAATGAGATGCAAATTATTTTCAAGTGAATGTGCTGACTCAAATTTATATACTCCACATCGTCTTTACAGTTTATGCTGTTTCCATCATGTTACTAAAGAATGAAACAAGACATCTCAGCCTAGGGTTTTCAATAGCTATAAAAATATGCATGTTACATATGTATATATATTTAATTCTTGTCGTAAGCTATATCAATAAAAATGCACCTCATGAAAACTGTTCCATTACAGCAAAAGCAGGCTTTAATAGTACGTTTGAAGCATTAGTCAAAACAAGTATAATCTGCTGGAACAAGTCTACAAGAATTGTTTGGTTCCCTTAACTACACCCTGAAGTCATTATGAATTTAATGATGTTGTATAATAACTGGAAGAAACAATGAAAAAATATTCATCTGTATTATAGACAATAACAGGTTATATGAACCAGTTTGTCTAAATACATTTGGGACTCCTTATCTTTTTTATAATTAGGATAGCCAAGTAATACTTATGCTTTGAAGCATAAAGTTGGCTCAGATGAAAAAAAAATGGTTATTTAGTTCAATTACTGACCACAAGTTGTTAGATACAGACTTTATCATAGCGTGTCTAATGGTACCTTTTGAAGGGGAATCATACTGATTATTAAAAACCAATGCCATTAAAACATTTTAAGGAAAAATATTTTAATAACATGGGGTAGATCAGTCTGTTGGTCATACATAATTGGATTGGATTAAACAATCGGTCTTTAAATCTACCAACAATTATGTAGTACGAGAGCCTACCAGTTATTTGTACTACATGGTAACTACATCATCTACCTAAATGAAAAAAGCTTGTCATAGTCAGTTATGTAATAATACTAGGGTATAATGTGTCCATAGTAAACAAACAAATTTCAGGTTAAAGCTCTAAGAATAATGGATCATTGGTATTTTTCTTTGGTGGCTATGGGTAGCTGAAATAGAAGTCTACATTCACACAGCCAGTGGAAGCAGGAAATCATCCAGTGCTTGTGTTGTTTAGCCTTTGTTGGTCTGTGCTGCTATTGTTTGGTAGTAGAAAAAGTGGGCCACAACCTGTGGGTATATGATACAGTGCTTAGCCAATTCAGAAGTGTGCCTGCTAGGCACCCATCTTGGATTCCTCCGTGAAGGTCTAACTCTATGTTAGAGGGAATCTGCACTTTACTGTAGGAACCCTTAATATAATTTACGTGCCATTCATTAGATTCCCTGCTGTCCTGGCCTCCACAGACTCATGTATAAATTTCAGCTGCACCCCTATTCGCACATGACAGCCCTCACGATTGGTGATTGCCAACTCCAGCACCAGGTACCATACTGTGGGAAGGTAGGGCATTACCATATGTTCCCCTTACCTGGAAGTCTTGGGCATATCTCCAGGTTCTTCCTGTGGATAATGGTGGAGGGGGAAAAAATAAAAGGTAGGTAAATGTCCTTAAATACTATTTTGCACAGTGCAAGCTGCGTAAACATTCATTTACACCCCCCCATGTTTTAGATTCGCTACGAAAAGAGCATTTATCCCGCATTCATACCTAGCACTTTGTAGTGCTTTTTTCTGCCCGAAAAAAAAGACCCCAAAAATTCCATTCATTTCTAAGGCCATGTTCACATCTTAACATTTTGTTGCTTGTAGCAAAATGCTTGTCGCTTGAAAAAAGTACATGAGCTTCTTTTCGGCAGCTTATGTGCTTCTTGGCTCCATAGACTTCAATAGAAATGCTCAAAATAGCGCGTATTTGATGTCTCTCATGTGTGAATAAGAGCTTATAGCAATTGCCATGTGGAAAAAAGTTAAACCAGCACCCCCCTGTAAAAGAGAAAGAGGAATTCTTAAACATCCATTGTGTGGTACATTAAAACTGCACTCTCTTGAGAAGTTCTGAGTGCAGCTGTTATTTGACATTTCTAGGTGTGTCGGAAAGTGCTACCCCAGGGAGCA